TGAATGCTGGTCTTTTCATGACTACTAGGGTATTCATTGGTAACTCCAAGTTAGTATACCAGATACAGTTCCAGTACTTTTACTTTTCAAAGTGACCCGGTGTTCCTCAAAATAAAAACTCCCTTATTTTCAAAAGCAACATACAATGTACTGGATAATTTATATAAGAAAATGACAGTTGAATCAGTTCAGTACAACATAGGATGTCAACATAGATTATTCCTGTTGTCATATTCTTAAGATTTGATGGCCGAACCCTTAGAAGTTGTACTCACAAGTTAAAACTATATTCGTAGTTGTTGAAACAAGTGTGCATCATGGTTTAAGCTGGAGGTATATTCTTTGACTTTGATATTAAATAACTGTCAGCGCTCGTTTCGGTTTATTGAAACACACCTATCAATCATCTAGTCTAAGGTGCTCTCCATCTGTTTTCCAACAATTGAATAATAATGCAATATGGGAACCAATTCAGGGGCATTATTCGTCATTTCGCCGGATTTCGACATGTAAGATGATTTTTCGAAGCAGTCGACAAGAAACTGTGGGCCTGCCTTCCTTGCTTTTAAGCACCGTCAGCGAGGTGTATCTGCGCTCCTACAGGAGATGTTTCTCCCTGGTGGATACCATCCAGTTTCGCTCATTTTCACAGTGACAGACTTTACCATTGATCTATCCGGGCAATGACTGATTTCTTACGTGACTGAAATGTATTTGCAACTGGTTGAGCTTGTAGCGGTAAATAAATCCCTAAAATAAGTAGCTCTGTAAGTTTTCGACATTGGATGCTGACCATATGTTTTAGTGGACTCATCTAGCTGAAGGCGCTCGGTCAGGCATCCGCACCAGATCACGTGTGGTAACGCCGTGCTCAACATCAACCGCAATCGCTAGCCAGATTAGATCAGAGAATTCCGATATATTGGTCATCGCCAAATATACTCTTCCGATCTCCTCGACTCTGTCTTTTGATTTCTCTGGGTGGGAACGAAATACATTAGGTGTTACTGGTAGAAGCGTTGTCAAACACTGAATACCTGTGACATCATCAAGCTTTTTGTGGTGACCAATTTTACGAGTACCAATCCCTTCCCAGTCGCGAAGTGGCCACTACCCTAAGCCAATTGGTATCGCTTGCATTGTGGTGGGATTTGAGGCGGTGACCAGAAAGAGCATTATTCTCCTTATGTTAACAGGCACACCTTGGCGAAAATTCTCAACTAACACGGGCGATTGTTCCAGGGTATTCAGTCGCCTATTTCCAACTGCCTGGCATCCCAGCATAGTACAAGCAATGTTTAACCAGTTAGACTAGTGACCACAATACAATTAGTTTGGAAGAAATCAGTCAACATAAAGAAGTAACTTACAAACATGTTATTGAATAACATTCGAAGGTCAATCACTTGTAAAGGCCTTAGTCGAGTCCTGGTAGAGGATTCTCGCAGATTTTTGTGGCCCATGTTTTGACAAACGTTACGATTTTGTTGCCATAGACTCTTTCTCCGAGCGATCTCAACCGTTTTTTTATGACATCGTCGAATGCTTACTTAATAGTCCAAGCACGGGTAAACACATTCTGCCGCGTAGGGATCTCTACACCACCAGTAACGTACAGTGATTCATTTCCTGCTGTAAGTGTAGTTGTCACTCACATGAATGAAGTGGGGTGCAAACTTTTATTTACTACTCCAAGACACACTTGTATTATGTGTGGGACCAGAGTCTGTTCGCACCTGTAGGAAACCCTCGTGCTACTAACAGGAGAAACCAGACTAGTTGTAGTGAATAGATCTTTATTTAGATCTTCGCATAGTCACAGTGGGGCGTGGGATCAACTGTTCAGACAAACAAAGCCCCTCAACATTCAGCATAAGATAATAGGAAATATAACGCCTAGACAAAATAAGGAAGTGAGTGAATACTTGAACTCTACTGTTTTGACATATGCTCAGTCGTTTGAGGTCAACTCTTATCCAATCAACCTAAGCCGTTACAGCCTCTTCAAAACGTTGCAAACTAGCATTAACGGAACTGTTACTATAACATTCGGTAAAATGGAGGAAGTGGATACATTACTCCTGCAAAATATGAATGCTCAGGATGTAGGAATGATATTCCTACCAAAAATGTTGCTGAAAATAGAGATTCTTCGATGAAATCCGAGTTGCTGAGGGTTTATAGATGTCACATATTATGACGAGAGCGACAAGCAACCAACCACCGGGATTCCGCTAACAATGATGTTAAACCTGTAGTGCAAATACTAGATATTAATTATCTAAACATATACAATCATTACATGTGTCAATTTCAACTGCAGGGACGAGGCTAGTTTGAAGGACCCGAGAAATGTCTCTGAGCCATAGATAAAAGGTTCAGTAATCTTCTTCTTGAACATATCAGATGACAATTCACAAGACACTGAAACGGTCAAGTGTAGTCAGTGCAGAATAATCACTTGGACTTTACGGCGCTGGCTATGCTGCATTATGTCCATACTCGGTTTCCCTTTGATATTTTCTCACTAATAAACCATGTCACGTTGGTGGGATTTGAGCTGTTCTGTTTACTCACCAACACAACCATACACCATAACATGAATGTTCAAATCGAGTACCGATTGCAGGGTGTGACTTAGGTTACAGGCCCTTGTCCAACTCGAGTAAATACACCTACCCTACAGGAGATTTACAGGCCTGTCAAGAGTTCGTTTGTTATTCTCAGGTATTCCATAGTGTTTAGTAAGTTTCTATGAAGTTCTCCTATCCACACTGTCAAATGCCTTCTCATAGTCAAGGAAATTAATATATAGTGATGAATTACATTCCATTGATTGTTCAACAATAATCCGTATTGCCGCGATTTGGTCTGTGCACGACTGCCCATTCAGTATCTCGGAGCACGACATGACGAAATGATACTACTAATGAAAAGTCTATGACTTCTACATAACACAACCAAGAACACAAACGGTATTGTATTATCACGGAGAGTTTAAAGACAACCTTAAATAATTAATTATATTGTTAATGTATTGTTTTTTCACCATAGGTTTATATGAAAGACCACGGAATGTACCACGGAACGACTGGATTAAGGTGACAACATATATATGTGTCCGTTTTCCTCCCTTCAATAACGTACTTGCCCTTGAGTAGCTTACACCTTAGCTTTATGAGCAGAAAATGTGTTAAACATATAAGTGTTCGATTTTATTAATTGACAAGATGCTCATAGCTCATTGAAAAATTAACAATTTATGAAATGAGTCGTTTCGAAGGCAGAAAAGTTAGAATGCGACGATCGTGAATTGAAAGCCCCAGATTTAGCGCATTCTATTTCATCAAATTAAAAACAGCTTCATTTGTCTCATAACTATTTCTCTTGATACATTCCAATATGTTGTGCTCAAATCTTAGTCAGATTTCGCAATCCCTTAGTCGAAAAACAGAACTGATCTCCTTCAAATATTTTACATAATTAAGACTTCGGAGGAGTCAGTTCTAAGTGAGATTATGGGTATATGAGAACTCGATTCCGGAGCAAGGACTAGAGCAACTAGACATTCAGAAGCTCTTAAGTCTTGTGTTTGTCTATGATTAATGGTGAAGTGCACAAAAAAAGGTTCTCCGTTTATTAGTTGAAATAATTATTAGGTTTCCAAATCCATACTTCCGATATTAATAAAGTTTCGGGTGATTCTCACGAGATATTTTCATTAAAGGGTCACGGTCAATCATATACTTCACTTCTGAAGGTCTCGATCTTTACTTGAGATACTTTTCTCATCCCCTCGATGACTAGGTTACAGTTTCAATTCTCTCTAATCACTTTCAGACCAATATTATTTCTTTAATAAAGAAAACAACTGATTTCTGTGTTATTCTGGTAATAAGTTTGGAGGGGGTTAGCAGGTTTGGTGATATCTAAAGAACTGAATGTACAAACCATTCTCGATTACTCAGAAATTAAGGGAGAGTAAATAATATTAGTTATGTCGAGTATCCGTCACAATAATTCGTCAAAGAGTGCAAAGCTAATAAGTGGGGCTTGTCGTACACTTGATTTCGTTTCTCTGTTGCTGCTTTCTGATTATGACGTCTTGATTGAGCTCTCGAAACCGTTTACACCTGATACACAAAGCAGTATTTGAGTAGCTATTTCATGGCCATAAAATTGTCACGGATATTCTGGGCTTGGAAACACTTTCGTCATTAACACTTAAATAATCGGAGGATCCCAAACTCAGTCGTACCAGAAGTCAGGACTTAGGGGGCTTGAAGACACATTCCGAAGGTATACTTTATATCGAAAAGTGCTTGAACTGATCAGGCTAGTTGCTAAGAGGGATGCCTGGTATGGGATACCAGATGGTTATCCGGGAGGGATGCGTGACATAGCGCCTTCAGATAGGATTTCCTCAGTAAAACGAATGAAGTACGGATCAATCTGAAAGGTTTATAGGACTTCCTATTCGGAGGATATATTCATTATTACAGTTGTTGGTAGTTAAATTCATCTACTATTCTATATCACTGTCATTATTCTCTAGTTATCATGCGAAATTTCAAACGGATTTCAATTTTCTTTCAAGTTCTTATGAACTACTCTAGCTATATCCCTTATTCATTGTGACCCCACCTGCTAAAAATGAAAACTAGTGATTTTAACATGTTCGCTAAACAGGTACGAAAAGGATGTTCCTTTCATTCTCAAATTATTTGGAATGCCTATGAAAAAGGATAAAAGTGCGTCCGATAACACAATATGATGGCTCCTACGTACTAAAAACTACTATTCAAGTAGACTTACGATATGGAAACTTGAACCTACACGTGTTCCTCCCTGAAATGAACGTTGGAAATAAACAGCCAGAGATGCTAGATCATTAAAAGAGAGGATGCATACATTAGGTAACAAACGAAGTAAAGTATACTATTGTATTCGATACTTTGATGTACAGCCTTTCCTTTTCCAGTTCACTAAAACAAACAGTACTTGTCACTTCACATAGCGTCCATTGAACAATTTGATTTGGCGATTACTCATCCGTGATACCTGTAGTCACGGTCAACACATCTACAGCCTCTCAAAAACCTGTTTAATCAATTAAAATACAGTCCAAATTCGAGGCTCAAGGCTTAAGATCATAGAGGTTTACTGAACTTGATAATATCGTTTGATATTTTATTACTTAGACGATTGGCTACTTGCATAAATTCGGTGCCTTACATGATGGTAAGTATGGTTGTATTCACTTTTATGTACACCGTAGCAAGTTATAGTAGTCTAGAAAGACAGCATGTTAACAGGACGTAATGATTATCCCTTTCTGTTCATGGCTATGCGCTAACATTAGTCCGACTTTTACGCGCACTTCTCAAAACCTTCGCTTGTAGTAGGTAGCTTATCAAAATTCTAACTAACGTGGTATGAAACAGTCAGAAAGCGAGGAGCACAATATTTACCTAGTAAGGATATCTGTTTTAATTTTGAAAAGCTTTTGTTTAACACTTAATTTAATCCAATCTTTGATACATAACCTCAGCGACTTTGGAGAGTTGCGTAACCTCCGCTTTTTGACTCTCTGAAAGGATTTAAGGTTTGATGGTCTTAAGATGTCTCCGAATAGAGTTTCAATAGATTGATAGTGTTTTTCTTGTAAGTTTGACTACGTGTTAGCTACTCGACGTCCTTTCAATGTTACCTAAAGTATATTGTGTTTATGGACTTTAACCCAATAGATTTAAGCAGTCAACCACTTTTAACATATGGCAGTTTTTTCCCCGTAAAGGTTTAGCTCACCATGCACTATATTATTTTGGTGGAAATTAGTTTTGATGGGAACTACGCGGCCAGTGCTGGAAATATCTTCCATTGGTTGTGGAATATTCATTTTGTATCTCACTCCACTACTGACTAGATAGGCTGTGGTTTTATATCTCATGCCTATATGTCAGACTAGTTAGTTCAAGTTGTTTCTTATCTGAGTCACTCAGTAGTACATATGGCAGAACCTGGTAGGTGGTTGAAAATATTAAGAATAGGCAAAATGATTTGAAGAAAATGAATAAATTCATGAACCAAAGGATTTAAAAGCTAGTTAAAATTCTTAAGGTGGGAAGATCAGCAGTGAATACATTTGTTCCCTGACGAACGACTCGGGGTTATCCTCTGCGAATCTAATCAATGGTCTTGAGAATGGCGTAGACCCTAACCTTTCAGACTGCACTCATTAACATGCCTCACTCCAACAGTAAGTGACTTTACTGACTGATCCTACGTTTTGGTCTGGCCGCTTACAGATTTCCTCGAATAAACTCCTACAATAGCTAATGTCGCACGTAGAGGTGGACGATGGCTGGGATCACGTAATACATGTCCAAACTACCTAAATTGATTGATTTCCACTATCTCGTGAATTGGTTCGCCACCTATACCTAGAGCTCTTTGTCTGACATCACGGTTGCGCACTAAGTGGCCCGAAAAAGCGCGAGGAATGCTTCGGAGGAAACTTCTATTTCTAATTACTAGGATGGCTATTGATATTTCTAAGACAAGTGAAATAGTAGCAGCACTCGACTACACTGTCTATCATCAGCTTAAGTATTACTGCAGACCAGTCATGAAGCAACATTCCCAGAATTGAAAATTAATGCTCTTTATGGAACAGTCTACAAACACACACATAGAATATACATGATTCATCGGATACACTATGTCAAAGTGATAGTAATTAGTTGTTCATTAAATTCATCTGTTTTAGATATTTATTTCTGCGTCTTAGTACTGCTTAAATAGTGTTGTCAGTAAAAGTATCACTCATTTGTAAAAACGACCCCACTAGATTATTCATACTTTATTGTATGATACTTCTCTTCATCTTTAGTTGTCAGTCAGTTTTTTGAATGACAACACAATGTTTATATTAGAGTAGAACATTATCAACTACTTCACTCGTTATCATTAATTTAAGTGTCAACGCAAACCAGTCATGAAGCAACATATCGAATTTAGAGGGAACAAATTACAAACCACACGTGTTTACACTGTTGCTCAAGACGATTAGAAGACTGCATTTTTTCAGAGTTCCTATCAAAAAAAGACTATGTTACTTAAGTATTCTAAGTTTGCAAGCGATATTCTTAGTAAGAAATCAATCCCTGAAACGTTAAACGATGAGAGCATTATCACTAGACGAATGTCTATGACGAGGTTAGACAAGAATAGGGACACTGGAAAACTTACAAACGCCACTAAATGTTAGCACTTCCAATGACAGTTTGTTATAAGCTCTGACTCAACCAGTAGCATTCGAGTATACAGTCTGCACAAGGATGCTGTACTGTGGTGAGCTTTTAATTGGCAGACAGCCCCATAAAATCTTGCAACCAACAGAATCGAACGTTGCCTTAAGGTCGAGAAATAGTCAGTCAGTCAGTCAGCTACAACGTAGGACCAGGCACATATGTGCAAAAGAGATGGTAAAGGCGGCGACTATAGGGAACACAAGACAGCTTTACAGACTAATAAATGAAACTGGAATTAATAAGTCAAGTGTAAGTGAGATTATATCGAAAAAAGACGATACACTCATCTGCTCCCAGTCCAGGCGTTTAGAACGATGGGCGGAACATTTCAGAGAACAGTTCAGCTGGCCTTCAGCTACTCTACAACTACCCTCCATTCCCAGACAGTGTGAATGGAACATTGAAGTAGGTCCCCCAACTGTAGCTGAAGTTCAAGAGGCTATGGTTAATCTGAAACGAGGAAGGGCAGCTGGTCCAGATGGATTAGCTCCAGAGGTCTTTAAGGATGGTGATCTAATTTTAGCAATTAGGTTGACTAATATTTTAGCTAAAATCTGGGAGTTGGACGTTATCCCATCTGACTGGTCACAGTCACTTATCGTCCCAATATATAAGAAAGGGTCAAAATCATCCTGTGACAACCATAGAGGAATTAGTTTAACTAATATAGCATCTAAAATACTAGCCTCGATAATGATCGGACGCCTAACTAAGATTCGTGAACTGCAAACACGAGAAAATCAGGCTGGTTTCAGATCTGGTCGTGGTCGCATCGATCAAATAGTCACCATTCATCAGGTTCTCGAACCCAGGCATACTTATCGACGTCCGACAATGGTGGTCTTTCTCGACTTAAAAGCAGCATTTGACTCGGTAGACCGCGAGATTCTGTGGCAGTGTCTGTCATTGAAAGGTGTACCCCAGAAGTACATAAACCTTGTAAAGGCTCTTTACTCGAACACTACTAGTTGAGTCAGAGCTTATGGCGAACTGTCATCTACTTTTGCAACCTCAAGTGGTGTCCGTCGAGAAATAGAACTGTGGTTAGGGATCAGTAGGTTTGTCTGTATTCCAAAATTTGATGAGGGGCAACTGTTTGGTGTACGCAAATACTCTAAGGTCTAAAGACAGTCTGGTTTTCTTGAGTATGATCTTCACGGATTCTAGTGGTTATCACACAAGTGGATTTTGTTCTTGTTAGCTGGAACGATCAGTAGTTGAAATCAATTGGCATTATGTCCAATTAGATTATGGGTAAGATATTAGTAAATCCATCTGTTAAAAATATACAACTATCTCAGATGGTATGTCTCAACTAATCAAGTTAAGGAATGTTCAAATCCCATCAACGAACTTTGGACGCTTACCTAGTTCTTTGTGTCTAATCTCAGTACTACCCACTTCGTGATCTTGACAATCATCAGTTTTACGAATAAGTCGCCTACTTTAAAGACCACGTTTTACAACCGTAAAGTAGATAGAGCGAGCTGATGTGCAGCATACTCGACCTTTGGTTAGCAAATGGAGATCTCGAGCAAGCGAGAGATGATTTAAGTTGGCAAAGACTAATCGAGCTTTCTGAATCCATTTCAAGGGCTTTTGAGACCTCCAAGATGAGTTAAGTAGTCACTACACTCTACCACTTCAATGCTTATCGTTAGCGTAGACGTTGGCCCACACCAGTGAAATCATATAAATATATAATCTTCATGAACAGATATCCATTCCACATAACTGCGAATCTACGACAACTTTTGAAAAGAGTATATCCTTAAATCCTGGATTGCTGATTAGTCTTCTCATAACATTGCTCGTTTATAATAAAATAATCAAGTAATGCTGAATTTATTGGCGAACTAATTGTTGGAACTGGTAAGTCTTGATGAGGCTTAAAATTTATAACTGCGATTGTTGGCTTTGTTGTCCCTACACTCGGACCCCTGCTTAGCTATGTGGAGGTTTTCTAGTTTTTGCGTGTGATAACTCACTGATACTGGCGCAATAATTCCGTCTCCTGCGCCAAATTTCCAAAGTAATGTACAATATTCGTTCTGTCCACTTCATTTTTTTCTCTTGACTCTTAATTATTTTTCTAGTTTTCATTATTGCTGGTAAAGTCGTTCACCCATCGTTGTTTTACCTGTTCGTTAATTTGCCGTTGCTCTGAAATGCAACAAGTGAGACCAATGCATATTTGCACCAGGTCCTTTGGTATTGGTATCTATTTGTCATTGATTATCTCTGGTGGTTACAGTTTCGAAAATTAGTTTTCAGAATCCCGTCGTAGTTGATTGGAAGTTTAAATTGACATTTGAAGTGCTCAAATGTCTAGGTATAAATAATTTGCCCATGTCAGCATGCCATCACCAAAATATTGTCATTAAATATGATATAAAAATGTTCTGTGGTTGCTAGTTTGAAGATCCTCCATCTTAAAGCAGCAAAATATCTGACTTCATAAAACAGTGATATGTGAATTTAGTTATTTTTCAAAGTATTTCGTATGATACTGTTTTGGCATACTATTTTAAGTGAATTCCAAGGCTTAAGGTGATTTGTAGCTGGTAGTTATAACGTAGTTTCATGATTGCGTCTCATTCTCTTAATGTTACATTGCTTTTCGTGAAATGAACTTTGAACTTTACGTTTTTAGGTTGAGAGCATTATAGACAGACGAGTTCGCCGTGGTCGCGTGGAGTACCGTGTTAGATGGAAAGGGTTTCCTCCGGAGCAAGATTCTTGGGAACCCTTCACCAGTCTTCGCGAACCATGCCTTTCATTAATTCAAGACTTTCACATCCGTTACCGCAAACTTCATCATGGAAAAAGGCGTTACTCTCTACCCTTGATTTCTCGTAGTAAGCTTTTGAAGTGTGAAACAGATGAATTTCATGACATGTCTGTAAAATTAGAAAAAGATAGCGATGACGACTTAGCTGCAGACAAGAGCAGTATTTCGTCTACCAAAAGCCAACCACCTCCACTTCCTTTTAAGTTAGGTAAGAGAAATACTGTACGGCCAACGTCGCGTCGTTCTGCTCCAAGTTCAGTAGCCTTAAGTTCGACTAGTTTCTTTTCGTTACAACCGGGAACTTATTCTGGCCACTCGTCATCCCTTCCGAGTTCTGAGTCCAGTGTTTCTCAAACACCATTAGTCTGCGATCCAGGTGCGTTGTTGAACATCCAAACACTTGACCGTTCAGATCATACGGTACACCCAGATAATGGTTGGGTTCCCTGTGAAGTTTCTGGTGCTTCAACTGGTTCAGTATCTAGTCCTAATACAATTCAGGCTGAAGATGACTGTAAAGTTCCCATGGATAAAGTTCCTGTTACCGGACTTTCTAAAAATAACTGCGGAGATACTTCACAACGATTACAAAAAACATCAAGATCACTTTCTGACCAATCAAACCGTAATACTCCCAAGTCTAGCAAACGCAAATTGCAGCCCAATGATGGTGCTGGTAAACAAAATGATTCAGCATCTGCAAATCAGCAAGTCTCTCAAAACTTCCTGAAGGGAGATAAGAATGTAGGTAACTTCACTACCTCTGATACCCAAGAAAATTCTATCCTCGGGCAAACACGTAAATCTGTTACGATTATGCTAAAGGCTTCTCCCACACATGAGTTTCAGAGCACTAGATCTCTCCACCGCAGTAATTCACCAAACTCTAAATCTCTTCCTACTACTGCCTCTAAACCGGTTTCCAAAAAGCGCATTCAGCCTACTAGTGCAACTTCAAAGCCGGAACTAGATGTTGATACTTCCGAATCCCTACCATCACGTGAAGATCAATCTCTCATATCTGATTCTATCATATCAAAAGTCATGAATATCGTTGTTCATCTGAAAAACTTAAGAAGACGCCCTGTACAAGAGATTGTCCTGGCACTTTGCCAAAAGCACCATAGTATTCCTGAAAGCCTCGTTTTATCTTCTCTAGATATCTTAGTTACACGAGGTCACTTACACCGTGTTGAGTCAGCCAAGGGTATATCTTATCGTTCCAACCCTTTTGTTGTGGCTCGGGGGGACCTAAAGAAGCCTGCATCTCTATCAGCCAAAATTAAAGCCAAATATAATGGTGGAGTGAATGGAAAACGACCCAAGTGCACGACGTCTGCTGTACCTGAGCCTAAACGACCGGATTCAGTGGAGTCACCAAGCCATTCTTTATCTAAAATTGCACGAACTGATCCATCAACCAATGTTCACCAGCGCTCTAGTCGGAGATCTGTAACATATGGATCAGTGGCTTCTGAAAAATCCAATACGCACTGTTCTTGTTATTCAGATATCAATGGAAAAATCTATTTCAATCAGTCTTCTGTTATTGTGGATGATGTACAAGTAAATCAGGATCATACCATACATCTTAACGGAGGAGATTATTCAATGAGTGTTAAATCACCACCAAGTATGTAGTTCTTTTTTTCCTATCTTGGATAATTTCTCCACAATATTCTAGTGTTAGGCAAAATATTGATTTGAACGTTGTCTAGTCACACCTACACATTAGTTCACTGTATCTCACGGAATGAATGCAAAAAGTAAATTTTGAACGTTACCATTATTTGGAACTGAAAAGAGTTTACAGTTTAAAAGCTGTTAGTTTGTAATCGATCCCTTGATTTGTGCTCAAAAAGTTGGTTGAATAGTGTTATAACTTGTGCCCTGTGTCCTATTAATGTATAACGTAATGATACCGCCAATTAGAGAACAGTGATTTATCGACCGGACCAATGACACATAAAACCCATACGAGCAGTCTAGAGTCTTTACCGGTTCTTCTTTCTGCCTAACCCTGCCTGTTAAGTCCAGAACACTAATCTCAGCCTCTGCGATATGGATAATTTATTTCAAACATACTGGGTTTATATACCAACCAAATAGACCACATCGTACCTCAAAATAGAAAACAGCATTTGTACAAGATTTGGCTAAATGTGGCTATGAATGTGGGAGACAGTAATTGATAGACTGGGCATAACTCAAAAATGGTAAATCGTATAATAATAGTTCATAGGTCAAAATAAAGCTTATGATAAGAGGAACACGAATATGAATAGTTTGGATATTTGACAATTATGCGATAAAGATATACGTATAGTATTAGTTTCAAAATAGATCCCGACAGTTGCCAATCATTATTCTCATCGGTATATAGCAAATAGCCTCTTCTTAAAGGCAGATACTTCTACCCGTTCTTATTAAGAAAATATTTAGAAGAACCGTTCTGTTTAAGAATCCTTGTAGTATTTTTCATCAACACTGTTCGTAAGGTTTAACAACCATAGGATGGTTGTGGTAGCTAACTTATATTAATGATCCAGGCTTCACTGCTGATGTTTTGAACACAAAATGGCATTAAAAACCAACATTCATAGTTTAAATCATCCTCCTCTGACTATTAATTATGTTTGATTGATGTGATTGTTTTACAATTACTTATGTTAGTCAGCAGTATGGACTAAGCAAAGTTGAATAAACATTTTTGGTAAATACACAAACACTTACCAACATTTCTAAGTAAATTCACGGCTTAGTGATCAAATCGTAACTTTCAATTATCTTTTTGTAGGTTTAAGAGCTGTTCTGCTCCAATATATCGCTATTTGCCAAGTACACAAATATGTATTGGCCAAGTTAATGAATTCTATTATTTGTTAAGTACTTTACTCTTTTTTTGACATTAAAGTTCCCCATTTTTTAATATACAGATATTCTTCAACAAGGCACCAAGATATTTATTGTACCTCCGGCTAGTCCATTAAATGAAACAACTTTTGAAAGTCAAATGAATAACTTACCATTTCATCGATCTGAGCAAGTTAGTTAACTTACATAAATTATTATGATTGGAATCTATTACAGACATTAATGTTTAGTGGCTTTTAAAAAATGATTTCGAAACTAACTTACGTTTAATCTATTAGAATTCTTTTTTTATCTCCGTAATATTTATCGTAAAAGACAAGAGTTTGTTTAAGGATTATTATTATTATTTGAACACATAAATATTGGTACAAGAGAGCGCCAATATATATGCGCCACACAAAAAAAAATGAGAATGCGAAGAGAAATAGAAAAAAAAAGAAAAAAAACTAAGGAGCGCAAAAGAAAAAGAGAACAATAACGAAGAGATCGGTGTAAGGTGGTGTGGTAGTAACGAGGTACAATCAGAAGAAATCTTTCAGGTAAGGGAGACATAACCACTTTTTTATGAAGAAAGTAAAAGAAGGTTACAGCAGGATCGCCACTGGCTTCTATTCTGAGCCATATCTGATAACATCTCTAGCCACTGTGTAGCACCATCTCTCGGACCCCAACCAGGGAGTCGTGAAGGACCAACAGAAGCCAGTCCTTTGCAGCTTTCTTTCATGCCACGACACCATGTCATGCACTGACCACCTCTCCGCTTCTTCCAATCAGTCCCAGAGTCGGCAAATAATGCACGACGTGGAATTCTCTGGGACGACATTCGGAGAACATGTCCCAGTCACCGAAGTCGATGTCTCAAGATAGTGATACCAACTAAATTATCATCTCTGTGCCCGAACACACGATGCCGAACCTCTGCATTACTGACATGGTGTTGCCACTGAATGTCAGCAATCCTTCGGAGACAGCGATGATCGAACACAGAGTCGTCTAACGTCCTCAACTCGGAGAGACCAGGTTTCACAAGCATAGAGCAGAACTGCTCTCACCGACGCGTTGTAGATCCGACCTTTTACAGCCAGACTAAGATCACGAAGGCGCCAAAGGTGGCCCAGATTGGCATAAGCCGCTCTGGCTTTCACTATTCTTGCATTGATCTCATCACTCACACCCCCACCAGCACTTATGCAGCTACCCAGATACACGAACTTCTCGACTACGTCTATCTGCTCACCATCCAGGGTGAGTACAGGATTGGAATCCTGCCGATCTTGTAGAAGCACTTTGCACTTCGAACGTGCAAAGCTCATACCATACCTACGGACATTGATTGCCAACTGATTAAGTGCGGATTGCATGGCATGGATATCATCACACAGTAAGACAATATCATCAGGATGGTCAAGGTCAGAAAGTCTTTCTCCAGGCAACAGATCCACACCACCATTACTTACATTCATCAGAGCTGTTTCTAGAATGTCATCGATGGCAAAGTTGAAGAGGAATGGTGAGATTGGGCAACCCTGCCTAACCCCACTGCTCGAATGGAACAATGGAGAGAGGTGGTTGTATGCCCTCACTCTGCCTGAGGTGTTTGTATATAGGGCTTTTAAGATGTTAATAAACTTCTCAGACACACCCTTCTTCAATAGACAATCCCAGAGAACAGTCCTGTCCAAAGAATCGAAGGCAGCCCTGATGTCAAGAAACACTACGATTGTTGGCCTTTGATAAGTACGGCGATGTTCTAACATTTGGCGGAGGGTGGAGATATGATCAATACACCCTCGACCAGAACGAAACCCAGCCTGCTCCTCGCGAGTCAATCTTTCTCGGGTTTTGAACAACCTACGAAGTATGACGGGAGCCGATAGCTCGGACTCAATTAGAAGTAGACTTATCCCCCTATAGTTGTTACAGGAACGATGTGAACACTTTTTAAAGATAGGAATAACTATCGACTCATTCCATGACGTTGGTACACTCTCTAGTTCCCAAACCTTTGTAAACAACGTCGTCAGTTCCTTAGTCAAAAAGTCACCACCATCTTTAAAAAGAGCCGGAAGTAAATCATCTGGTCCAGGTGATTTGTAACGCTTCAAGAGTTGGAGTTCCTTGCGGACTTCTTCCTCGTTTGGTGGATCAGTCGTCACCGGCCATGGAGGGCAGGACAGTCTGACCGATGTTGCCGGAGCAGCAGGCCAGTTGAACTGCCCTTCAAAAAATTCTGCCCATCGTCCAAGACGTCGATGGATGTTAGTGATTGGCATCCCATCATCCTCACAGATTGTTTCGCTCACACCAAACTTCTTGCTGCCAGTGGCTCGGATGAGCTGGAAGAGCTTCCGGTAGTTACCAGATGCAGCTGCTGCTTCCAACTCATTAGCACGCTCCGACCACCAGGCTTGTCGGTCCTTACGCAAGCTTTGCCCAATTTCCTTACGTACCGTCCTTCGTTTGTGGTCAAACTCACGGTCACCCGGAGTAGACCGACGGGCTTCGATAAGTTGTAAGAAATCTGAAGAAACTCAGTGTTTATTAGCGGGACGTTTCGCGAAGCCGCAAGCGGCTTTACTCGGCCTGAGCATTCAAGTCTCCGGCTAGTACTACAATATCTGTCGAACGCAGTTTCTGGAGAAGAACGGTTAATTGATGGTAGAATTTGTCCTTGATTGCATGACGAAAAGACATCGTTTCTTACGCCGATTTCTTCTCACTTTGATGGGACTTTCTAATCTAACAGCACATAACCGACTGTTAATGGGGATCCAAACGATTAGTGCTGCCTCAGCTCTAGCGCCTAGTGCGACACCAACTCCAGCAAGACCAGACGAAGATGCCACAGGGTCCCCGGATAAGCGCACGTAAAACAAGCTTTTCGAAGCGACAGATGAGCTCATTTGTAGTACTTCACCAGAGTCTTGAATACGGGTCTCGGATAGACAACAAATATCAATATTAAGACTTTCCAAAGACATAGCCAGCCCTATCTGTTGTCCGACCTGCATAAGTGTGCGAACGTTGAAGGCAGCCAGTTTGAATGGTGCACGTGGTTTCAGAAAAACTGCTTCAGCTCTCGTATTCGGTGTTAACATACAATTTTCAACCGGACAGTGACTCGAGAACGTTTAGATATAGTCGAATTTCCACCAAAGGCGAGCCGCTGTATAAGTATAAAAGAGGGTGAATAATGTGGAAAATAATAATAATAATAATAATAATAGTATTAATAATGACAATAATTGTAATGTTAATAATTTGAATCAATTGGTTGTTTTTCGAAGAGAGAAAAGTAATTTCCATAGGCATAAAAAAAATAAGTGGTTGGACAGTAAAACTATTTTTTATTCAAATACCATCCCACACCAACTTTGTTTTTGTAATACATGGTTATTTCGGATGTAAATATCTTTCACAATTAAAACATTACACTTGTTTGAACGTATGTATAATGAATATTCTAAATCTTAATTTGTATACGAATGAGTCTTATGTGCGACATTTGTAACTGATATAAACTAAAAACGTATGGATGGATAAGCTATTGAGATAATTTGAACTCTGTCGTTTTATACTCACAGACATTAAAGATGTTTCGTTTGGTATGAATGAACTAAACAAAACAAAGAAGATTGAAGTATTTTGTCCATGATTTCAGAGTCAGTAAAGAGTTGAGATTGCACATATATAGTCGATTGAAAATCTAATTTTTGACTGTGAAACGTATTTAAAAGAGTGAGTGTAATTCTCTCTCTTTGTTCCCATAGTGTACGTGGTTTGCACTTGTAAATTTGTAAACGGACTTTAGATACTTTAAACTCCCCATTATTAGTGAAAGCCTGTGAAATAAAACATCATTGCACTTTATTCCTCAAAGTACATTATTTCTTTATTGATACAGATCTGACTATTTCTTTAAATCGATAAAATGTAGTTGACGTGCTAAGTCATTGAATAGGAAGTGAAATCTAATCCAATATCTTTGAGACTAGACAAATGACCCGGTCTATTTTGAATTCGTTAAAACCTATCAAAAATCTCTACTTCGATGGTTCTCAACAGGTTTATTGATAGTAATCGGAAGCCAAAACGTCAGCTGAAAGTAAATTCACAGTTTTGAAAATTTTATTTATGACTGCCAAATTCAAAGGGGATGCGACAACAGGAATATTGCACAACAGATTATTATTATTATAAGCTAAACCTACTTAGTGGAGCTCCGAACTTTTCCCTCTAGTAAACACCTCATTTGTAGATATGTCTAGGATAAATTGGCATTTTGGGTCATCTCACTGTGTATCTATTGGCTTACTTGCTATTATGGATCCGGCAATATAGACTGTTCAAAGCATGCACTTACCAAACGCAAATCCGAGCACTATCCATTTTTGTCTAAAGGGGTATCCAAGTTAGTTAATAGCTCAGTCATCAAACACATTCTCAATTTAGGTAATTACCTATTTCATTTCTTGTAAAAATATCATTTCATATTAGCTTCAAATCACTCAATACTTCAAAACATTTATTAGTCTTTATTACTTTTTAAGTGATGCAGCGCCTCTCCAGTTGTTATAAACCATTATACGCAGTACTTGATTATGTACAACACTTTCGTTAAATGACTCAACACCATCTGTTTTATTTCTGACTACCATTTTTAAAAGTAAATTTTAATACAATGTTGCGGTTTAAGTAAGTGACATGATCTAAATTAAAGTTTTCCGCGGAATTATATTCTTTGTTGTGGTCATGAACCAATCAATCTTAGACCGCCATTGAAAACCTGAAAGCATTGGGGGTCATCCTGTTCTTATGTGGGACTCATCAGAAGAGCTCATTTACGATCTCATGTTGTGCGACCGTCTTCGGTTGGTAACTGCCTCACGGCCGACATGGTTAAACTTCTAGAACTACCTTTCTACGCTATTCACTAATGAGCACATGACAATGAATCAGTATAGGTCTGTAGAAATTGTTGTTTTTATTGAGATAATTTCTTCCAGTTTCCTATATTCACAATTATTACAATTCAATAGGCCAGTCCTGAAGCAACAACTTGCATTTAGAGGGAGAGAAGCGCATTCCAAACATTCTGGCATTGTTGCTTAGTGCTACCAAAAGACTCTGCATTTCGTCAGCGTCTTCACCAAACAGGAATATATCATCTGCGTATTCCAAGTCGATAAGTGGACCTCCTGGTAGGAGATCAATACCCGATAATTCAGTCGATGAGAATGTTATTTCCATCAGTAGGTCTGTGATAAAGTTAAACAGAAATGGAGAAAGTGGACAGCCTTGACGGACACCACTTGAGGTTGCAAAAGCCGATGACAGTTCGCCATAAGCTCTGACTCGACTAGTAGTGTTCGAGTGAAGAGCCTTCACAAGGTTTATGTACTTCTGGGGTACACCTTTCAATGACAGACACTGCCACAGCACCTCTCGCTTCACCGAGTCAAATGCCGCTTCTAAGTCAAGAAAGACCACCATTGTCGGACGTCGATAAGTATGCCTGGGTTCGAGAACCTGATGAATGGTGACTATTTGATCGATGCGACCACGACCAGATCTGAAACCAGCCTGGTTTTCTCGTGTTTGCAGTTCACGAATCTTAGTTAGGCGTCCGATCATTATCGAGGCTAGTATTTTAGATGCTATATTAGTTAAACTAATCCCTCTATGGTTGTCACAGGATGATTTTGACCCTTTCTTATATATTGGGACGATAAGTGACTGTGACCAGTCAGATGGGATAACGTCCAACTCCCAGATTTTAGCTAAAATATTAGTCAACCTAATTGCTAAAATTAGATCACCATCCTTAAAGACCTCTGGAGCTAATCCATCTGGACCAGCTGCCCTTCCTCGTTTCAGATTAACCATAGCCTCTTGAACTTCAGCTACAGTTGGGGGACCTACTTCAATGTTCCATTCACACTGTCTGGGAATGGAGGGTAGTTGTAGAGTAGCTGAAGGCCAGCTGAACTGTTCTCTGAAATGTTCCGCCCATCGTTCTAAACGCCTGGACTGGGAGCAGATGAGTGTATCGTCTTTTTTCGATATAATCTCACTTACACTTGACTTATTAATTCCAGTTTCTTTTATTAGTCTGTAGAGCTGTCTTGTGTTCCCTATAGCCGCCGCCTTTTCCATCTCTTTTGCTTTCGTTGCCCACCACTGCTCACGGTCGTTCCTTATACTTTTGCTTAATCTAGATCTGATTTGTTTTCGCTCTTCATTGTGTTCTGAGTCTGATGGGATGAGTTTACGGGAACCCATCAGTGCAATAGACCTTGAAGAAATCCATTGGTTCTTTGTAACCCTGTGGTTTAAATCACTAATAGATGTCACTGCTGTTTCCACAGCTGCTTGTATATCTTTCGAAGCAACACCTGCTCTCGTACTTATTGCTATGCACTAGAATCGTTGGCTATGGTGACACTTGAGTAGGAAGCCGAAAGAGGAAGTTTAGAGTTGAAAGTCGATGTAGGGAGAATAATAGGAATTCAAGAGGAAGGTTGATTATGAAGACAGCAGTCCTGTGTGCTGTTAGAGGTATGAGGGCGTTTATCACTTCCCCGTTGCCCATACCGTAGAAGGGTTCTTCTGGTGGTACCTGAAAAGGAAATTGGATTAGAGGTGGTCATATTGACCTGAGAGCGTGACTGCAGTACCCAAGGGACAACTGCTTGAGGTCGGTCACACACGACCTTTTTGTGGGTAATTTTCGTGTTAGCTCCGTACTTGTTGAGACCTTACCGCCGGAGACGGATATCCGTGGTATAAAGTGAGGGGTGACATTTTTAGGATCGACCTTCCCTAACCCCACCCCTCCTTGTGGGAAGGCAGCATCGTTGTCATGCTGGTTGTCTGAAGGAAACACCTCACTGCCGTCACACCTCTTTATAGTCAGCAATACGACTTCGCCTTCGGTTTGTTGCTTTTAGTCTTACCGCTCTTCAACTGACCTGTCTAGCATGGTAGGACCTTGAGGAACGGTCGTCTCAACCAGTATAGCATGGTTGGTTCGTCACAAACAGGCAAACCCGACCACCACGTCAAGGTAGCATCAACGGTCGATTTACACTTTCATAACCCAGATTAGTTAGTTTTATATCTATCGTACCCTTGATCTGATGAAGACAATTAGGAGAGGATTTCATATGATGTAAGAAATGCGATACAGCCGCTAATTCGTACGTTAAACTCTCATAACCACAGAATTCAGTTGTCTAAGCGAGAAATGACCAAGTGATATCATACGATTATATGAAACTCTCACTAACTAATGTTATAACATCTAGGTTATATTGAATTTCTGTCGGTATTTTAGTATTACGTACCATGTGATGAAGAAAATATAAAAAGGTCGTCTTTTTCCGAAATAGTCTGACTTACACTTGACTTATTAGTTCCAGTTTCTTTTATTAGTCTGTAGAGCTGTCTTGTGTTCCCTATAGCCGCCGCCTTTTCCATCTCTTTTGCTTTCGTTGCCCACCACTGCTCACGGTCGTTTCTTAGACTTTTTCTTAACCTAGATCTGATTTGTTGTCGCTCTTCATCAAGTTCGGAACGTGATGGGACGAGTTTGCGAGAATCCATCAGTGTGATAGACTTTGAAGAAATCCACTGGTTCTTTGTAACTCTGTGGTTTAAATCACTAATAGATGTCACTGCTGTTTCCACAGCTGTTTGTATATCTTTCCAAGCAACATCTGGCAACCTGGACCGATGCATTTATGTGCCTGGTCCTACGTTGTAGCTGACTGACTGAGTAGGGTAGCATTCACGATCAGTTCTCACTCGAATGTATTGTGTTTCGCTTTGGTTGTTTAGTCGATCACCATTCTTTATGTTATTTTAACATTCAAATAACATGCAAAACAATCTTAATGGTAGTAGTAACATTAATGGTATACTAAACGAGATTATTGTAAACTTGGACAAACATAGTTCCATCCAGTAAACTGAGTTATATTAGTTAAAAAATATTCTCAGATTGTTCTCTCATCCTGTGAAAAAATAATAATCTTTTTTCCATTTCATCGACTTTCGATTTTTTATGTTTAGCCTAATCAAAGTTCATGTAATAATTTGAGTTCTACATCAGGGTCCAATCTCGATAGTTCAAGCATTCCACAAACAAATTCAAGACGTAGTAATCGACAAGTCGATGGTTATAAATTCAAATCGATTTGGGTAAAGAAAAATGTACAAGGTGGATTTACAGAAGTTTGGTTACAATCACCTGGTTCTTTTCTAAAAAATGGATTCACAATTCAGGTAATTCATTAATTTATTATTGTTTAAGATGAACCAGGCATTTTTAACCCCATGTCATTTTTCAGTTGTCGGTCGTAGCTGCTACAATGACGTGGTGGTTTAGCTTGTTTATTATGATAACTTAATTAATCCAAATTCGCTGGAACACTTGCTCCTTTAGGTCATATCATGCTAGGCAGGTTAGTTAAAGACTAAAGGTATCAACCTAAATTTCGAGGGCGAAGTCATACTGCTAAGTGTACAGAAGTAAAGTTTCTTCCAAATAACCAGTATGGCGTTGCTGCCTTTTAAAATTGAAGCAAGGGGTTATAAATGGTCACTCTTAAAGGTCCTATATTTCACCTTACCGACAGATTTTCGTCTCTGTAAGTAACTCTTTTACAGTATGGAGCCGATACATCAGAATCTTGAATAACATTTGTGCACGACTAACCTCGAAATGTTGTCCTTCGGGCTCTGTGGTCTTGGAAGTCTGGTCAGCCCTAATAGGTTGGTATCGGACGAAATCTCAGCCCGGATTCGAAAAGCTCGCTTGGCTTTTGCCACCTTACGTCACCTATGGCGAAGGCGAGATATCCGTCTATCAATAAAAGGACGAGTATACTGAGCGGCAGTCCGTTCTGTTTTACTTTACAGCAGCGAAACATGGCCTTTAAGAGTAGAAGACACTCGTAAGCTACTAGTATTTGACCACAGATGCCTTACGAATATTGCTGGCGTCTTCTGGGATCACCGGGTAAGTAATAGTGATGTTAAACACAGGGTATTAGGGGATGATGGTAAATCAGTTGATGAAGTTGTTAATCTTCATCGACTGAGACGCGTGAGCCACGTGTCGCGTATGCCTGAACACCGATTACCACGACGCGCAATGCTAACCGATGTTGGGGATGGTTGGAAGAAAGTTAGGGGCGGCCAAACCAAAACGTGGCATCAGTGCTTGAAGTCACTAACTTCTGGTCTGAGCCATGTTGGTAGATGCAGATGACTTGGTTGGAGTCCGCGTGACTATCGTAACCAATGGTTGGAGACTGTGGGTGACATGGCTCAGAATCGATCACAATGGCGTAGGTGTATACACTCCCTGTCTTCCCTTAAACTAAGAGATTAAAATTGCTTCATATCTTTCCTTCTACTAACTAATTCTTTCTTCCTATACTATATCCTTATATGCAATCTTTCTCCTATATGTTACCACCTTTGACCTAACCACTGCTGTGAATCCGGTGTTCATCTTGCTGTGCTAATGAGGTATGGCAACCTGGACCGATGCACATATGTGCCTGGTCCTACGTTGTAGCTGACTGGGCTCTGTGGTCACACTCCCGGGTCACTGTAGTCACTATTAATTCAGCTTATTTTTCAGGCCCATAAGAAAAAGTATCCTTCCACTCTGTATACAACTCGAATGTGACAACTGCCCTTATATCTTTAACAGCATTCGAGACCACCTTTTTCATAATCAAACCCCGTAACTTTTTAATATTTCTTCAATCCCCACTACCAACTTTTCTTCTCTGTCTTTATCACCATGTGTCACTAATGCTAACAAATCGCTCTTACGAACTGTGCTTTAGACTACATGATGGAGTTTCAGTGTTCTAACCGTATGTCTAATCGAACATCAGGCTTCTTTAGGTGGTACTACAGAATCTCATGCTATCAATTTGTGCTGTGGCTTCAAAACATGCCTGTAGAACCCAAGTGTGGTCATTGAATGAACTTCACGTAGTAAAAATGGAGGTTTGGAGTGGCTTATCCTCTGTGTATCTCTGGACGTGACTTTTACTTCCTGTTTCCTCGCTGGAGTATGCATCCCACTTGATTTAAAAGTAGAATAGACTCACCTGGACTGCATCTCAATAGATAGTCTCTTATACGCTGTCTGACTAAAAGAGATATTAGGAGCACAGAAAGTTAGATATATTTGGTGGCACCTCTTCGTCTTCTCTGTCTACATTTTAAATAGCTGCAGTCCAAATGAAACGAAATATGAGTTTTGCATAGGGCTTTCTGCTGTTCTTAGAAAACTGAAGGGTCGAGTGTAACCCTAGCACATAACTATTTGATCTTATTAAGTTTTAAGTTGGAGCATACAAAGATACATCGTAAGTCTCAAAATCGACAGATCGATGGACACAAATAGACCATATTACCATCAACTATCGTCGGGAAAGATTGTTAGAAGACTGTCGTTCATTTTCGAGCCAGTCAGTCAGTAGCAACGCAGAACTTCGCACGTAGGTACATCAGTTCATGTTGCCATACCACATTAGCACAGAGATGCATTTGTCGATTCAAATCCCATAGTGGTGGAGGTAGTAAAAGTATAAGCAGTAATCGGAAAGATTAGGGTTTGAAGATGTTACTCAAGAAGTATAAGACAGTGAAATAAATTTGGAAAGAGAAAAAGAAGGGACATGAAGGTTTCAGAAGATTAGAATTTGAGAGAACATAAAGAGTGGATGAATCTGCTCCATTGCAGACAATTTTGAGCCATTTCATTCAGGGTCTCTAACCATCGGTTGCTATCATCTCGCGGATCCCAACCAGGTAGTCTACACCTACCAACATATCTCAATCCACTTGTCAGTGAATTCATGGATTTGTGCCCCTAACATTCTTCCAACCTACTCCTACACTATTGAACATCTTTTTTGGTGGAGTTTTGTTCTCTGAGCTGGATGGTTTGGTCGTAGAGCTTTCATCGTTCTTCTGAACGACGTCATCAGCACAAACATCAAATAGAACATCGCACGTCGAGGCAGTCGGTGATTGGGGATACGTAACACGTGTCCCAGCCATCTCAACTGATGAAGTTTCACTACTTCATCAATTGATTTTCCGTACCCGTTTCCTAACAACAGTTATTTACTCGATGATCCCAGGATATACGAGCAATGTTTCAAAGGCATCTATGATCGAATACTAGTAACCTACGAATATCCTCTACTCTTACCCCGGCCATGTTTCACTGCCATAAAGTAGGACGGAACGAACTGCTGCTCTGTTTTCAATTCGGTAATGCTTCAAACTGAGCTTTACTGAAATCAAGAAAGCTGCAACAAGAAAACGTATTAGTGTTCAGCATTTCTACATGATGTCGAAAATCTATTACTGGAAAAACTAGAGAAGTAGTTGGACAATCATAAAAGCAATGATAACCCTAATGTAGACTGGCACGATATTCAGAAAGCTGTGGAAACAACTGTATTATCTACCAGTGATTTGAACCAAAAGATCTAGAAATATTGATGGACTTCGATACTATCTACTGAATTGATAGACGCTCAAAAACTCGTCCTATCAGGTTTGGAACACAATGCGGAGCGAAGACAACATAGACATAAACTGACATGTCTATGCAATGATCGTAACCAGTATTGGTCAGTGAAAGCAAGAGAGATTATAAAAGCAGCTCAATGGACAATGATAGACTTCTTTTCAGGCATGCAAGTAGATTGGTATTAAAAAGGTTATAAGTTAGTTAGACTTTCTGACAAAGATAGGGCAGTAATCCACTCTCAACCCAGTAGACTAAAACGATGTGTAAAACACTTTGAAGAACACGTTAACTGGTTTTCAACTACCATCTAGTTTTTAACTGTTATCAAGCAAATTCAATGGAATGTCAACACAAGTCCTCTGAATAGTAATAAAGTTGAGAATATATGGTTTATCTAAAGTGGAGTAAAGCAGCAGGTCCAGATGTCAGTCAGTCAGCTACAACGTAGTACCAGGCACATATATGCATCGGTTCAAGTTGCCAAGATGAACACCAAATTCATAGGAGTAGTTACTTCAATTACAGTAATACATAAAAGAAAGATTGTGTATAAGGATATAGTACAGGAAGAGAGAATTAGAAAGAAAGGTATAAAATGATTTTAATCTCTTAGTTTAAGGGAAGACAAAGAGTATATACACCGACGTCATAGTGATCGATTCTGAGCCATGTCACCTAGTCTTCAAACATTAGTTACGATAGTCCAGATGTAATAGTCTAGAAAGTCTTTAATGATTGGGGTCTGGTCTTAGCAGTTGGAGTAGTTACGTATACCAAATATTCGCTCCTCATCAAATTTTGGAATACAGACAAACCTACTGATTCCTAACCACAGTTCTATTTCTCGACCTTAAGGCAACGTTCGATTCTGTTGGTTGCAAGATTTTATGGGGCTGTCTGCCAATTAAAAGCTCACCACAGTACAGCATCCTTGTGCAGACTGTATACTCGAATGCTACTGGTTGAGTCAGAGCTTATAACAAACTGTCATTGGAAGTGCTAACATTTAGTGGCGTTTGTAAGTTTTCCAGTGTCCCTATTCTTGTCTAACCTCGTCATAGACATTCGTCTAGTGATAATGCTCTCATCGTTTAACGTTTCAGGGATTGATTTCTTACTAAGAATATCGCTTGCAAACTTAGAATACTTAAGTAACATAGTCTTTTTTTGATAGGAACTCTGAAAAAATGCAGTCTTCTAATCGTCTTGAGCAACAGTGTAAACACGTGTGGTTTGTAATTTGTTCCCTCTAAATTCGATATGTTGCTTCATGACTGGTTTGCGTTGACACTTAAATTAATGATAACGAGTGAAGCAGTAGAGTGCTTCTACCATTTCACTTGTCTTAAATGTATCACCAGCCATCCTAGTAATTAGAATTAGAGGTTGCCTCCGAAGCATTGCTCGCGCTTTTTGGGACCTTTTAGTGTTCAATCATGATGTCAGACAAAGAACATAACATTCGTTGGGAGACATAGCCTAGAATTGTTTTTTACGGAGCAGATGTTTATATTATTTTTCTTCCCTCAGATCCTAAATGTTTTAACCAGCCTTTAAATTTTTTTATTTCACGGTTTTTGTCTTTTTGCTGGAATCATATTATCTATCTCTTTAATGTTTTCAACTGCTGTGGTATCTCGCTCTGCCGAAGTTGTGTTAAAACATGAACCGGTGCATGTATGTTCCAGGTTCTACGTTGTATATAACTGGCTGG